TTACTCTCTACAATTTCACTCAAAACCATCAAAACATTTTGATCTTAGAAAGAAAGCGAAAATATATATTTGAGTCTTAGAAGGAAAGGGAAAAGATATATGCATTAACAAAATGATAACCAATGTACGTAGGAGTATTTGACGATTTTAGCTGGCCAAAATTATTTCTCTCCTTTTAACAGCTGAATACTTTATATATTATATATTTAAAGTTTATATATATATACATATATATATATATATATATATATATATATATATATATATATATATATATATATATATATATATATATATATATATATATATATATATATATATATATATATATATATATATAAAATATATATATATATATATATATATATATATATATATATATATATATATATATATATATATATATATATATATATATATCAGGCCTTGCGATGAATAAGAACTGCGCGACGCATAAGCACGACGTGATTTTTGACGTCATTAAATTCTTTTTATTTGCTTTTCATATTTATCGACATTAACTGCACCAATTTACTTAATTACCGCAAAACTACTTTAAATCGTTTATGTGGAAATGTTATTATTTAAAAATGTTTTGGAATGTTTCGTTTTTTAAAATATAAAAACATTTGTTTATTTTCTCGACGTTTGTCACGTTTTGTCTATACTAAACGAATAAAAAACATTATAACTTAAATTTAAAAAAGATTATAAAATATGCTAATATTTGATTTTTTTTTTCTTAAATATGTAATTTAAAGTTTTTCAAATAATTATTTTTTCTTTTTAAAAAGTCAGCGAGTAATAAACTGAAAATTTTATAGCTAATATTTTTACAAGCGATTTTATATAATATTTATTTATTTTTATTTATTTTCAAAAAGCGGTTGATAAGCACAATCACTCGTAATAATAAAAAACTTAAACGAACGTTTTGAATAATTTTTAATGTTAACAAGGAATTTTATTTCTAGTAAAAAAAATAAAATGTTAGAATAAAAATCTTATAGGTATAAAAGAAATATTTCAGCGAAAAAATTATTCTTAAAAATTATTATTAAAAATTATTCGAAAAACTATTGACGTTCTATTTTTCAGCAGCAGTTTTTGAGCACGCTTCGTTGAGTTTCGGTAACTTTTAACATAAAAGCGATCGTTATTATTTAAGTAATTTTTTTGTGTTACTTTTTACAAAAATTTTAATAACTGTACTTTTTTATTGAATCAAGTAGAATACGTTTTAATATTATTCCTTTTTTATTTTTTTATTTGCCCTCACTAATTTTTAAAATGTTTCCTCGAAATAACTCTTAAATACTTTAAATACATCTAACAGCTAATAAATATTTTTAAATCTATGGAATAATTTTAAAACCTAACAAACCCCCGTAAAATAATTATTTAAGTTTAAAATCTAAAACTAAAAGAAAGTATTTTTGTTCAATTTTATCGACAACTTTGCTATTGCTGAATAATTTTAATTAAATGTTAGCTTAAAAGATTTAAACTTTTTTTTTAATTTTCGAATTTTTTCTACTTGTAAATAATGAGCATATTTAATTTTTTTAAATTCAAACTTTTATTTCAACAGAGTGCGGTTTTTAAAATACTTTATTAAATGTTAAAATAATCATAAATTACTTCATTAAAATTCCGCTCAAAAATATCTTTAAACATACTCAAACAAAAAATTTTTTGCTCGACGCAAATAGCCCTAGCTACACGCAAAATTGCTCTTGGACAACGTAAAATTCACATCGCCCGACGCTTTATCACAAGGCCTGATAATATATATATTTATATATATATATGTGTATATATATATATATATATATATATATATATATATATATTTATATATATATAAATATATATATATATACATATATATATATATATATATATATATATATATATATATATATATATATATATATATATATATATATATATATATATATATATATATATATATATATATATATATATATATATATATATATATAACCCTGACCTTGATGTGCTTAGAACATGATTAAAATTTAGATGGCATTAACAGGCAGTTGAAATTAAGATTTTTAAATAGCTAGTGGTATAAACTCATAGAAAAACGAAAAAAAACTAAAAGGGTTTCAATGCGCACTACAACTTTTTCAATTTTAAAGTCAAAATTTACTTTAAAATTCGTTAAAAAAATGCTAAGTTTCATGGTACATAACTTTTGTGGTAATTAATATTTCAAAACGGTAGTAAGAGTAAATTTATTATGCATGGAAAGTAAACATTGTAAAGTACATTCATTTTAATATTGTTTATACAGTAGTCAAACTCCTTTTGTGTAATTTATAGGAACTATATTTATTAAAAAAGGAAGACAATCCAGAAATACAAACAAGCTACTCAAAAAATAATTTATTTAGACTGAAGTAGTGAATTTTGCCAGGTGCAGATAGTACACTGATTGTGTTTGTTTTTATCGCCAATATGTCATATTGCTAGTGGACATATATTCACTAAATTTCAATGTATCAATATTTATTTGCTGAGTAGATTGAAAACTTTGAATACCAGTAAAATAAAAAATGCCTGTTCAATTAGCATCTTCAACTGTTTGTTTAAAGCTTTTATTATCCATAGATTCTGGTTTAAATTGAAGATAGCTTCTAGTTTTAGAAATTGTTCTACTTAGATGAAAATTTGTTTTCAAAGTGGTGCACAATTTTTCAGTCAACCTTTATCAATATTGAAAAAATAATTTCTATAATATTGTTTATACAGTAATCAAACATTTTATTGCTAAAGATGATTTTGAAATAAACAAACAAAATACAATACAAAATGCAAAACTAGATTGCATAATCCTTATGGATGCACATAATCCTTATAATGCTTATGGATGTTAAGAATATTCTTAACATCCATAAAGACAATGAAGGTGTATTTAAACATATTTCTTATTGTATTATATCAGATGACATTACACATGATATAATTAATGTGTGCAAAACATTTCAACTAATCTTACCCAAATTAAAAATATCCTTATCTGTCCAAAGTACATTATTTCACTGATGCTTATGCATGGCAGTACAAAAATTGAAAAAGATTTTACAATCTATTTTAATTTGAAAAAGATTTTGGCCTTAAAGCTGAATGAAACTTTTTGCCACTCACCATAAAAAGTCATCATGCGATGGATTGTTAGTACTGTAAAAAGGTTGACAGAGTAAGAATGTTTGAAATAACCATAATGAATCCAAGTTCTCAGTTCATCAGAAGCCATGTATGAAATTTGAGAAAATCAAAGTTACAAATTACTATTGCAACATGAAGCACAACAAGAAAGGTACAACATTGCAGTAACTCTGGTACTTGTGGCATTCATCAGTATATATTGAGAACAAATTGATTGGGATTGGGACAAAGAGGTTTAGTACAGACACTAACTACATTATAATATAAAATCTTAAAAAAAGACAATATATATTTTAAGCTGATGCTGTCAGTAGTTATGTAGTCAATGATGATAAGTGGTGGATCAGCATCATAACTAAAATTAACCTAGAAGAAGCTGATTTTGAAGTCAAGTTTCTCCAACCCAAAAGTTTCATCAACATATTTTAATGGTATCAAATAGAAGACTAATGTTTTATTTTCAACATATTAAAAATATCTTCCAGACCTTGCTCTGTTTCTGGTAGAAACTTATAGTATAGAACTATTAATAAGATAAAAATTAATAAAATAATTTTAAAAATTGATAATATAATAGATAAAATAAAAACAGCTATCCCCCTGGATGTGGTTACGGCGCTCAATAACCTAATGACTATGCTGACACTCACGCACACATTCAGTTGGATGCTCCACAATGCACATCGGACCAGCGCTCGCTGACTATGTGCTTGGATCTGAAATCTCACTTCATAGCACGTCATTCCACACCAGCACGGGGCAGTAGCTCTTTTGGCTAAGAGTTATGACTTGTGGGAAATGTGTGCATTCTATCAATTGAAATCCATTCTGTAGGCATCTATCTGGCTCTATCATAATAGATATAAAAATAAATGATATAACAGATATAAAAATAGATAATCCTGATAATAGTTCTAGAAATAATAAGAAATAATATATAAATTATGTCTTAAATTGAGGGAGATTGTCATGTTCATAAGGTTATGAACATGAGATATTGTCATGTTCATAAGGTTATAATTTCTAAAATGTGGTAATTTAACCTAAATAATGCAGATAACAAAAAATTATGACTTTAATAGTCATAAAAACAGATTTTATTAGCCTGTTTTTATGATTTGTAAATTTAGGGGATACTTTGTTGTGTTTACAAAGCTATAAATTTAAAGCTGTTGCACTTGGAAGTCTGAAAAATACAATATAATTCAGGCCTTTCCATGAAAGCTGTGCAGTCACATGCCTTGTTTGTCCACAAATGAAATTTTTGCCCAATATTTTTTTAACTTAAAAATAATCTTGACAACAAGCTCTCTTCTTGCGTTGTTTGTCAAACAAGTTAATGATACAATCATTGACTTAGGGTCTCATTTATAGTTTAAAATAAGAATAAAACAATTGATTACAATTTTTGTATTATTTGTATTAAGTTAATAAAATTATATAAAAAATTTATTTTAAAAAAATCCAGATAATGAAAAATTTAATATATATAATAAAACAAATTTTTGTTATTCATCAGTAAATTATTAGGTGAGCATTGTATAAAAAATAATATTTTGAAATAACCAATGAGATATGAATTAACATAAGCCAGTAACACAATGAACAAACTTGATGATTAGCAACAATAATAAAATAAGCAACTAAAGTAAGTAAACATAACAACGCATGTTTAATGAAAAAAATTGAAAATCAAATGAAAAAGTTAAAACTTAATAAAAGGACTTAGCTTAATAAATTATTTAACATAAAAAAATTTTCTTACTTTTGAAACAAACAAAGCATAAAATATTAAAAACAATTACCTTTATTGGAAGAAACAGTGGAATCTTTGTTTGGTAAACTTGAAATCTCTAAATAATATAAAGTTCTTACTTATATCTATCTAAAACTTGAAATAAAAATATGGAGTTGAAAAAAATAACACTAAAAATGTATCTATAGAAAATAATAAAATCATTCCCGCAAGGTTTAATTACAAATGTTTTTTATATAATTTTTATCCTCCTGAAAAACTATACAAAATTTGGTATATGTTTCATGCCTTGTAACGAACCAAGTATGAAACTAAAAAAACTCAGGCAGTTAAAATCATGTGGAGCTAAAATAAAGCAAAACACCACTAGAGCAAAACATAAACAAATGAAACTGCACCCAACAAACTGGGCAAAAAGAAAATTGTGTTGTGAAACTATAAAAAAAAACTAAAAATTTATCAAAATCATTCAATTTTATCCATGACCTTGTTTATCAAAACTTAATTTGAAACATTGAAAGTGTTTGTAAAAATGCTAAGAGCTTACGGGAAAATCAGATTCGGCAAAAAAGGCTTGCTAAGACTAGAGTTGCTAGATGTCTGGCTTTTACAATGAAAAATACAATATCGCCCCTACAAAAATCACAACACTTTTACTGTTGTAAAAGCCTGACATCTAACAATCCTAGCCTGTTTTAAAAGAACTTTTATATAGTATATTTTTTATAGTATATGTAGTATATTTTATAAGCCGAATGAAAAAGACTTTTTTCAATATTAAGTGAAAGCTTATTTGATTTAAACCAGTTAGATATTTTCTTTAGTTTTACATTCATGTCATGAAATAAGTTATTGATGTTATTTTGGGATAAGAAAAGATTAGTATCATCAGCATACATTATTGTCATTAAATTAGAAGTTTTATAGAGGTTATTGATATAAATTAGAAATAACAGTGGTTTAAGTATGGAACCCTGGGGGACTCCACAGGATATATCTAAAGCAGTAGTTGTTGAGTGTGTATCAATATGTATGAACTGTTTACAACTATTTAAGTAACTTTTTAATAACATTAAGACTTTACCAGTGATATCGTAATCATACTGCATTCTCATTCTTATAAATAAATAATCTAATTTATTTATGAGAATACGGTGATCAATAGTATCAAAGGCTTTAGATAGGTCTATAAAAATATCTGAAGTAATTTGTGATTTTTCAAAAGAGTCAGTAATAACACAGGTCTACAAAAAATTCATTTTTTATGGAAAGCTACAGATTTTTTGCAATTTATATTTTTTTAATTTTGCAAAACAGTAGAAATAGTTCTAAAATACTGAAACTCATTTGCAAATGCTAGGATATACTTTTTAGAATAAAAGTTGTTTATAAAACTAAAACAAAAACAGAAAGCAAATGAAACTAAATGTAAATTGATTAAAATAAATATATTTCAAATATCCAAGTCCTAGCAAAGTTATTAACTTTTTATTGATTAATAAAAAAATCTTTTACTTTAGTGAAAGATCAAAATCTTTTTTACTTTAGTTTTAAAAAAGATTGCAGATTATATTGCTTATTTACAACTACTTAATCAGGAAGAAACTTTTGCTTGTTGCTCTTTCGTTTATAAACTTTTCCTGTGTCTTCTCGCTTGATGCCCCAGCAGTAGTCTGCCATCATGTGTATGTCTTAACATCCTTGGTAACGATCTTGGATTGTCTTATGATCTTGATGGAATCGCTCTCCTTGCTCTTCACTCACATCTCTAAGATTTTCAGGAAACTGGTCAAGATGACTATTTATATAATGAAGCTTTATACTCATTTTGCATCCAAGATCACAAAAGGCTTTCAACATTTTATCAACTAAATCTGCATAATTTTCTGCTTTTTTATTTACAAGAAAATTTTTTATAACAATCACAAACGATAACCAAGCTGTTTTTTCTTTGATATTCATTGTTTTAATGAATTCCTTATCTTTTATAAGATAGTGAATTTGTGGCCCGTTAAAAACTCCAGTTTTTTTTTTCTCTATTGACAATCCTGGTAATGATTTAACTATATACTAAAAACAATCACTATCAGTTTTTAGTGCTTTAACAAATTGTTTCATGAATCCAAGTTTAAGATGGAGTGGTGGAAAAACTATTTTGTTTCGACTAACAATCGGTTCATTCACAATATTTTGCATGCCCACTGTACGAGTCTTGCGAATGGGCCATTCTTTTTTTATCCAGTGTTAATTTCTTGCTCGACTGTCCCACATACAGAGATAACAGGGAAATTTTGTAAAACCTTTCTGCTGATAAAGTAGAAAGTTAATCATTTTTAGATCTACACAAATAATCCAGTTGTGTTCATGATATTTAATCAAGTTAAGCACCATTTTAATGTCATTGTAAGTTTCTTGCAAATAAACAGAATGATCAATTGGTACAGAACCAAAAATATTTCCATTGTGCAATATAATGTATTTGAGGCTTTGCTTTGAGCTATCGATAAAAAGTCTCCATTCTGCTGGATTATATACAGAAATACCCAACTGTAATAGGAGACCTGAAATATCATGACAGTAAACAAATAAATTGACTTCTGAAAAAAAATCAACAAAAGTTTCATCTCTTGTTCTAAAATAAGATACTTTTGCAAAGCTATCAAGCAGGTTTTTTTCTTTTAAACGTGACGCTAATACTTCTGCTGCTTGTTTAGAAAGTCCTAAATCACGAACTAAGTCATTCAGTTCTATCTGACTAAAACACTGAGGCAAACTGAATTGTTTAGCATTAGATGAGAAGTCTTCCAAATCTGGTAAAAATTCTTCTGTTTCTGTAGCAGACACGCTTTGCTCATCTTCTGACAAAAATAAACCTTTGAAAATTGGAAACGGAATCTGGTTAGAATGTTGAATTGGTCTAATAGCAGAAGGAATTTTGGGATAAGTTATTTTTTGTCCCTTAGTTTTGCCAACACCACTAGTATCAACAAGACAAAGTAGCAGTCATCAATATGATTTAGTGGTTCCCTCCGAACCGTTGGGACTCCAAAAGGTAAATTTTTTTTTTCCTTTTATCCAATCTCGAAGACTTTCTTCACAAATATGGCATAAAATATGTGGAGCCCACTTTTTATCTTGGTCACCAAGTTTAATATTGAAATTCGATTCATATGCTAATTTCACAAAATTAGTAATGTTTTGTCTTTGTCAAACAAGTGCATAGCAACCACATATATAACAAAATGAGTTATAATTATGCTTGCACTTATGTCAATTTGAAGAAGCCATCATTATATATATTTGATCTAATAAAAACAATGAAATGGTTACTTTTTTAATAACTTAATAAATATTTAATAATAACTATGAAAAAACATAATTTTTAAAAAAATGATAAGTTGAGAACTGCAAAAAAACTAGAGCTTACCAACAAAAACGGACCTTTTATTTGGATTCAGCGTTTAAAAATACATTAAAAAAAGTTTCAATATCTCATGCAACAGAATTAATTAACTTAATTCTTGTGAGTTGAAGTTGAAGCGTGTTATGTAGAGTTTTTTTTTTTTGAAACTGACTGTTGTAAAATATATTATTTTCAGAGATGATTAAAAATTCGATTAAATAAAATTCTTTCAAGAATTTTGAAAAAACTGACAAAACTGAAATTGGATGATAATTTTCAACACTTGTTAGTTCACTGCCTTTACATATAGGGGTCACTTTTGCAACCTTCATTTGGGCTGGAAAAATTCCTTGATTTATTGAACAATTAAGAACTTTAAATAGAGTATTCTTTATATTATTGAATGAATTAACAGCAATGTTTTCATTTAAGTCGTCTGGGCCAATTGCTTTATTGAGCTTAAGCATTTTAAAAGCATTTTCAAATTCTGAAAATGATAGTTAAAAGGCACTTAGACCAGAGGTTAGAGGAAATTCATAATTATTGATTTGATTTATCATGTTTGGAATGTTTTTTGAAAGATAAGGTCCAACAGAAACAAAGCATTTGTTTAGTTACTGATAATTAAGTATAATAATTAGTTATTGAGTGTGAAAAATGTATTTGTAATGTAAATGTAAATGTTTTATAAATTTCTATGTCATCAATAAAATACATCGTATAACGTTTAATCAATTTTATGGAAGTATTGTAGTATGTGTAAATTTTTTTTTTTTTGTCTTTTTTATTGATACACGCATAAATAGCAAAACACAAAAAAAATAAACTCAAAATCTTTATCCATTAAACTTTAATGTTAGAAAGACAGACACATAATTATGACAAAATTTCAATTAAACTTCTGCTCATAGCTGTATATGGTATATATATTTACACTTTTGTAGGTTCTGACAAAAAAAAATCTAATCTATACATATATATATATATATATATATATATATATATATATATATATATATATATATATATATATATATATATATATATATATATATATATATATATATATATATATATATATATATATATATATATATATATTTGTTGACATCATTTATATTTGTAACACGATTTTTTGAAATTTATTCTTATTTATGTCTTTATTTATAAAAGTTGTAAATTTGTAAAAGATTCTGATGATATGGTTTTTATGATCATTTTTTCAGAAACCTTGTTTGTTTGTTTTTGCAAACAAAAACATCAAGTTGTAGAAAGATTTTTAGCAATCCTAAATTAACTACAAAAGATATTGTCCAATTGAGAATTTTAAAAACACTTTGTTTAAAACTTTTAACAGTATCTATTCAAATTTAAAACAAAAAACTGTATAAGGAAGATTACATACTTTTCGGATTTTTTTTATTGATACTAATATTTCCAATAAGAATTTTAAAAAAAGGGTTTAAGAAATTGTTAAGCAATACTTTAAAGGTGATTCAGAACTTTATGAAATTCTGCAAAGCTATATTCTTATAAAAAATGATTTTTTAAGAAACTACTTAGACACATTTATTCCTACATAAGTTGATTCAAAAACAAATCGCTTTAGCATTACCAAGCCTAAACACAACTTTGATATTTTTTTCTTTTTTGATTACTAATTGCTCCAGTGGAGTAGGATTTCCCAAATAAAATAATTAGATAGCTATTACAGATTAACAACGCCACAATATGTTTTTAATGTTTTTTCCTATATTGTCCAGTAATGTCAATTTATTGAAAACACTTGAAATTTTATTGATTTATAACTTTTCAATAGAAAAATAAAGTAAAAAAAAAAATTGTATGTTAAATAGTATGTAATGCAAATACTCCATTTTCTATTCATTTTTATTTAAATAAAAATGAATAGAAATTAGAGTATTTCTATAAACAGCTAAATAAATTCATACTTCAGTATAAAACTATTTAACTGTGCATAAAAAATATGTATTTGTTATTTTAGTTTTTGAAAGACTAAATATACCATACCATATATACTTGACATAAATATTTAGAGATTAAAACTGGATTATTTGACAAAAATCTTGATAAAATCAAATAAGATAAGTTAAAATATAGATATATTTAATAACAAGTTCAATTTTTTAACTTATCTTTAAACGTAATTACATCCAAATGTTTTGATATATAGTTTAAATTTTTATATATACATTAAATATTTAAACTAACATGATAATCAACCTAATCATCATGATCATTGTAATCATCATCATTTCTATCATGTTTTTCAATATACTTATGATAATTGTTATCATTATTATTTTCATCATTTGTTTTCTTTAATTACCACTATTAAATTAAGAAATACCTGTATTAGAAGCACCTTCTGATAAATATGAAGGCATTGTGAAAAACCGACCTGGTTAAATAAACAGAAATATATTTTAAATTGGTACAACATTCAAAAATTCAAAGTATAAAAGTTATATTAACATAAAATAATTTATTAAAAAATTAACATCATAATCATTATCATTTCCATCTACAACTATAATAATTAATTTTTGTTTTTGTAAGCTGATTTATTTAAAATTTTGTCTTTTATATATATTCTGAAATTTATGATTTAACTCTAAAGAATAGTATATCTGTAACCATTATCATCATCATCATCATCATCATCATCATCATCATCATCATCATCATCATCATCATCATCATCATCATCATCATCATCATCATCATCACCATCATTATCATCATCATCATATCTTTTCCTTATCAACATGTTGTTATAGTACATATTATATAATTAGTTTAATGAAGAAATTCTTTCACTAGTGTCACTTGGTGAATTTAAAGACTCATTTAAAAACTTATCTAATAAAATAAACAGAAATAGCTTTTTACTTTTAAATTTTGTAAAATAGTCATTTTACAAGATTTATTTATGACTTAATGGTCATGTTACAAAAATCCAAAATAATCAAATGTATAAAAAACAAAACATCATCATCATCATCATCATAATCAAATTTTTCTGAAAGCAGAGAATTTGATGAGGAAGTTAAAATAATAACAAAAAAATAAACAAATAATGAGAGTGACAAATGACAATCTGAAAAAATTATATAATACAAATTAAAAAAAAAAAAATGTGTACTTGCAAGATCCTCCACCTCCATCAATAAATCGTGTTTTGGAATATCTAAAATGGCATGTTTTAACTTTTCAAACGTCGGATTTTTATCAAAATTGAACCATTTTTTTATCATTTCATATGCTTTGTCTTCTTGTTTTGGAAAATTTGCAAAATCACTTTTTATTGATTTTAAACTATGCTCTTCGACTTTTAAGGAAATACCAATCTTAAACCAATCTTGATCAAGTAGTTCAGACAACTTAATTTGAAATTGTGGATTTTGTAGGAATCCATCCATTTGTACTAAAAAACAATACAAAATTCAAAACTTTAAAAAATTTCAAAAATAATTCAAAATTTTAAAAAAATGTAAAAAGCTATAAGTTTAGGAGATTTATGAGCAACAATGTACAAACTATCCAAGCTTAATAGTCATAAAAAAAAATCTGGCTTTGTGATAATTAAAAAGATCGTAGAGGGTAAGTCTTATAGTTTGTTTGACATCATAAAATCATTTTTACCTACTCTTCATATAGAATAATAACTTATTTTAATTTTTTTTTCTTTTTAACATTTTTAAGCCTTCGCTTCCAAGAAGGCTGCAAGCAACCACTAATTAGAGTTGGAAGTTACAGGAAGAGAAAAGGTGAAGAGTGTAGAGCAAGATAAAGTTTGCCAGACGACTTAAAAGATTGCAAATTATATAAATCAGGAAAGCAAGATAAAGGTAGTGAATTTTAAAGACATGATGTTTGAGGAAAAAAACTAGAGGAATAAGAGTTTTCGGAGCACTTAGGAACAGTCACAGAAAAAGGATGAGACTTAATTGAATGGCAGGTAACACAAGAGTGAAATTTAGTAGATGGCACAAGAGACGCTAGCTCTGTAGAGCAGTGCTTTTTATAATATTTGTAGAAAAAAGAAAGAGAAGCAACATTACGACGATGTGATATGGGTTGAAGGTTGGCTGCAAGAGCAGGTCCAACAATGTTTACAATGCGCTTTTGCACCTTGACTAAAAGAGAAAGGGCATCATTAGAAGATCTGCCCCAGAAATGGCAACAGTATTCCATACAAGGCCGGATTTGAGATTTGTAGAGATAGAGAATAGAATCCAGAGTAAGAAAGAGTCGAGCTCAATAAAGAGATGTAACTTTAGTAGATGCTAATTTTGCAACGGAATTAATATATGGTTTCCAAGAAAGATCAGAAGTAAGAGTTAATCCTAGAAGATAAAGGGTAGGAGACTCATCGAGTACATTATCGTTCATAAATATAGGAAGGTCTAAATTATTGCGATAACGATTGGCCAAAAAAAATTGAGTTTTATCTGAATTAAAGTTCACCAGCCACTGTGAACCACATGCTGTAGCAGAAGTGAGGTCCTTTTCAAGCTCAGACGCCCTCCAAGCAATCAGGGAGAGTTGGCTTCTTATCATGACAAGAATAAATGGTAGTATCATCAGCAAACAATGCCACCTTAGATGTGAGAATATCTGGAAGATCGTTAATGTAAATTAAAAAGAGTATAGAATTGAACCTTGAGGAACCCCTCAAGAATAAGAAGAAGAGTGCTGTCCATTGAGGACAACTTTTATACTACCATTGGAAAGGAAGGATTCAATAATCTTAAAGATATTTCTAGATACAGTGTAAGAAGAAAGCTTATGGAGAAGACCAGCATGCCAAACTTTATCAAGTGCTTTAGAAATGTCAAGAGCGATAGCCTTAACCTCTCCACCTTTGTCTAATGAAAGTATCTATATATACTATGACTCCACCTGATTTGAAAGTATCTATATATACTATAACTTCACCTGATTTGAAAGTATCTATATATACTATGACTCCACCTGATTTGAAAGTATATATATATATACTATGACTCCACCTGATTTGAAAGTATCTATATATACTATGACTCCACCTGATTTGAAAGTATCTATATATACTATGACTTCACCTGATTTTAAAGTATCTATATATAGTATGACTTCACCTGATTTGAAAGTATCTATATATACTATGACTCCACCTGATTTGAAAGTATCTATATATACTATGACTTCACCTGATTTGAAAGTATCTATATATACTATGACTTCACCTGATTTGAAAGTATCTATATATACTATGACTTCACCTGATTTGAAAGTATCTATATATACTATGACTTCACCTGATTTGAAAGTATCTATATATACTATGAATTCACCTGATTTGAAAGTATCTATATATACTATGACTTCACCTGATTTGAAAGTATCTATATATACTATGACTCCACTTGATTTGAAAGTATCTATATATACTATGACTTCACCTGATTTAAAAGTATCTATATATACTATGACTTCACCTGATTTGAAAGTATCTATATATACTATGACTTCACCTGATTTGAAAGTATCTATATATACTATGACTTCACCTGACTTTGACTTCATAAAATTTAATCAACTTAGTTAAAAGTAAATTTAAATTCACTAAAATTGTAAACTACAAAATTTATAATAATTAAAAAAGTAATACCACTTTGTTAAAGAGAAAACTATCCAGAAAATAGTTCTAGAATAAATGAGACATTTGTTGAAAATGAGAAAAATGTTATACAGCTTTAAAGTAATCTGTTTTGACCATTTGTAAATTAAGGGGGAATTTTCAAACCGTTGTACTTGAAAGTCTTAAAATTCAAATTAATCCTCTACATAATGAACATAACAATATGTAAAAATCAGGAAAATCAGAAATGGTTACCGTATATATATTTATGTAACTTTTCATAAGACAACAAACTTTATTTTTAAAAGTTTTTGCTCAGACCCAATAAACAAAATTAACAGAATTAAAAGCTGTACCTTTTGTTTTAATGGTCATAGTCCAAGTGATTTGTGTTTCAAAAAAAATCTTTTGTTACTCTTTTATAACTTGAAAGTTGGTTAAAATAACTTAAATTTCATACTTCACAACTTAATGACTCAAATTTCATATTTTAGAACATGAAAACTCAAATTTCATACATCAGAACTTGTTAACTCAAATTTCATACTTCAGAACTTGATAATCCAAATTTCATAAATCATTATATAAACTCTTATTCTTGAGTTATTTTAAATCTGCCTTAATCAAATATCGGAACTGTAAAAATAACAAGCACATATTCACATTTATATCGTATTACACTGTAATATGATATGAATAAATGTTTGTGCTTTTTTGGCTGAGTCAAATTTAGCATTTTATTATAATAATAGTAACTTAAAATAAAATAAAAAGAAATATACAAATGATATGATTCATATCATTCATATAATATAGCTATATTCATATAATATAACTATATACTATATAGTATATCTCTTTTTTTTTTTTCTTTTTTTTTTTATAACTATTATTATAATAAAATATTAAATTTGACACACCTAAAAAATAACAAACATTTATTTATATTTTTATATTCATATTCATTATGTATATTCATTCATATTATGAATGAATTCATCCTCATTTAAATTACATTTACAGAATATAAAAACATATGAACGTATTCATACTCAGTAATTAAAAAAAAATAATGATAACAATTGGGCTTTATGATAAGACTAAACTTGTTTTGACTATATATATATATTTTTTATATTAAAAAGTGTAACTTTTATATCGTAAAAGTGGCTTGATAATCAAACCCACTTGCGATCTAAATCATTATTTTTATTTTGGAAAAGTGAGAAACGCAAAACTGCTCAATTAATTTTATCAAACATGAAGATAAATACCAACACATAATAAAGATTTAAACAAAAAAATTATAAATAGTACCTAATAAATTCCGCACATTAAATATTGAATATATTTCACTTTTGGTAACAATTACTCCATTCCATTTAGACTTTGAAGGCTGTTATTTATAACACATTACTCGACATTAAAGAACATTATTAACCACTGTGCTCAGTTGCTAGAATAAGAAACTAAGGCGTTCTTAGAGCTTTAATGTCAAAATGTCACATGGCATTAGTAAATGTTTACTTTCATTTTTTATGAAAGTCAATTTTTATAGAGTTTGAGCAAACAAGCGTTACGTAGAAGCAGCGGAAAGAATTTCTCGTAAATAATTAATAAGTCTTAGGGAAACACCCTTTTTAACGCTTTGCGTTTAAAACGTACGCAAGAAATCTAATTTCTTACCACTAAAAAAACGTACTTGACATGAATAATTAGAGTTTTAAACTCTTACTTTAGTTTATATTTTTGAGGTTAATGTCTTTTTAAATCCCAATTTCAACTTTAAATTTAAAGTAAACTTTGATGCAGGTTTTCTAGTGAGGTTGCTTGATTGTTTATAGAGCAGACATTTTCTGGAATTGTCCTTGGAATTGTTTTTGAAATTGTTTTTGAAAATACTTTAAACTTGAAAATAAGTCATGTAAATTTATGACTTGAAACGCGCATGTTAAAAGTTTTTCATGCTTAACATTTTTTGAATTCGCCGTGGTAGCAAACTTGCTAGCGTTTGTACTAACACCGCCTGGAGATAACGCGTGTATGCTTAAACTCTTTAATTTTTGATCGAGGACGTTACGAACAGTTTAAATATATTTATTGTTGCGTTGGTTTGACAAGGTTTTAACCATAGTCATATTACCAGGTTTTTTTTTATTTTAGAAGAATAACAAATAAATTTTTTTTTCTTATTTTTCTATGTCTAAATAAAACTATTTATATGATTATTCTTTATTTATTCATGTCCTTTTATGCATCAATCAAAAAAAAGAATACATAAACAAATTTTAAAAAATAATATAAATAATTTTAATTAAACATTAAAAAAAATTAAAAGATTTATTTTTAATTTTTACTAATATAAGAAATTTCAGTCAAAACCTTGTCAAACCAACGCGACGATGTTGCTAGAAAAAAAAATTTTGTGTTCAAATTTGGGACACTCGGATTCATAGCCTATTACTAAATACTAGTCTAAATAGACAGAAGCGATTTTTTGGGTGGGAAAGGGTAGTGGAGGGTGAGACACCCCTCCTTCTCCAAAGAAGGTAATTTTCAAGATATAGTCGGTTTATAGTGAGGAATATAGTTGGGTAGTTTACAACTTTCAGTCGGGTGAATTTTAGTTTTGAGGACATTTTTTTTTGTTTTTTGTTTTGTTTTTTACCAGGTTTGTTTTACACCACTTTATAAGGATTCACCCCCCCCTCCTCATTTTATTTGTAGAATCACCTCTATATATAGATAATATAGTGTATATAGACAAATTAGTCTATATTTATTACATCCAGAAATGGCGGCAGTATTTTTGATGATTAAGTAAAATCTTCTTTCAAGGGGGCTGCAAACTTCACACAGTCATAACTTTTGAACACTTAAAATTACTTGATAAAATGTAAAATATAAATTTAGCTTAAAATAGTAATAATAAAAAAACTCAGAAAACTATTCCCCTTTAAATTTTGGTTTAATGGGGAGGGAGGCGCCAGGAAAATCTTTTAAAATAACTTTTAGGGTTTTTATTGTTCCTAGATTTCAACTACAGCAATTTTTCAAAAACATTCTTATTTGATATCTAAAAGACACACTTTTTCTCTATTATTAAAATAGTTACTGTGATTCCTGACTCCATTAAAAGCAGGTTTACATTGTAACTAAAACATATAAAGTCTCAAAAACTTCAAAAGTAAATTTATGCAATTAGAATCAGTTTAATTCTTTTTTTTTTTTTTTTTTTTTTGCTGTTTTTTTTTTTATTATTTTTGTTTTTTCAGTGAATCAGTAAATTAAATTTAAAACCATATTAATTATAGAGTTTTTAAGTTATTTGAAATTAATGTATATTTTTGTCTTATTAAGATTTTTTTTTGTGTTATTTAAAAAGCAAACTTAATTGCACTCTCTTTTAACTTATGTTTAATCTAAAAATTATCATTCCCCAACAACAACAACAACAACAACAACAACAACAACAACAACAACAACAACAACAACAACAACAACAACAACAACAACAACAACAACAACAACAACAACAACAACAACAACAACAACAACAACAACAACAACAACAAGCTATTTATTTTCCGCTTTCAGTTTTATATTAGTTTGATAAGAATAATAACAATAATAATAGTAATAAAATTTATAATAAAATATTATAATAATATAAGATAAAAAAAATAATTAGTAACGACATGACTTGAAGATCATGAGGATCTTGTCATGAAGCCCTATACAATAAAAAAATGGTTAATTTTTAATAAAAATACAATGTCTGTAGTGAAATAGTAATACACTTTTATGCAAAAACATTTAAAAACCAAGATAAAATGTTAAAAAGCCAAGATAAAGTGTTTAACCAAATAATGTACAAAAATAGAACAACAACAAACAAAAAAAACAAACAGTTAAAATTAAATCAAGATATTTTCAATCAAAAATACAATTTTTTTAAGTTTTTGTTTGAATGAAGCAAAAGTCAGTTGAGTAGAAAAATCAAAATTTGGTAAGACTTGGGTAAGAAATTTGGTAATTTGTTCCAGAGGTAAGGACCTTGATAAGGAACAAAAAAAATGGTCTTGTTTTTACGGCAAAAAGGGGCAATATGATTGTTATTAATTCGAAGAACTGGTAGCTAAACTACATTTTGATAAAAGCGTAGAGCTGTTTCCGTAAGTAACAACAACAATAACAACAACAGCAACAACAACAACAACAACAACAACAACAACAACAACAACAACAACAACAACAACAAGCTATTTATTTTCCGTAAATCATTTTTACAAAAGTTTGATAATAATAATAACAAAAATAATAGTAATAATAATAATATATTATAATAATATAAGATAAATAAAAAAAGTTATTACAAATTATAGTAATAGTAATAATTAGTATGTTTACAATAATTGCAATGAAAAAATATTAATGATAATAAATATTATAATGGTAGTTATTACCATAAGGTTATTTATGATAATAAGTTAATGATTTATTAGAGTGTTGTCACTCATACAAAAATTTGATTAAAGCAGTGACACCAATTTTTGAATATAATATAAGTAATAATAAGCAAAGATACACATAAAAACATATGATTTTTGTTAAAACCTTAAGATTCCTATGACACCGGAAGATATATTACGTAACTGTCATCCATGTTAAAATTAAATAAGTATAGTTTTAAAGTATAGTAAACCGTGAACACATAGATTAAAGCACATAAAACATATATTAAAACAAACATATAGAAATCATAATTTGCAGGTTTTAATAATAATAATAATAATAAAAAATAAATAAACAAAAAGTACTGATGATAATTGTATTAATAACAAACAATAACCAATTAAAGATATATAAATAAATAGCTTAAACAATCTTTTGAATAATTTTACACAGAAAAATAACTACTTAATTTAATTTAAAAAGCCAGCTTATATAGGTTAATATTTGACCTCAAATATTCAATGAAAAAAACAGGTTTGTTTGCGTATAATTTAAATTATGAATATCACATTTACAGGTACGGTAGCTTCTATATTTGAATACTATATTAATGAGAAAATTGAAGATGAATTCTAATTTATTTATGAAGTGATCTTTCCTCAAAAATTATGATAAAATGTATACTTTATTTTGTATGGAAAGAATGAAGTCTTTGGTATAATTATTTATATTATAGCATTTTATACAAATGAGAGTTAATGGCATTAATATTAATGAAGTGATTTTAACAAAGTTAACGTAGATTAATTAATTTTTTTTTTTTTTTTAATTCGTAAAACTATCGAATTTTAGACTATTTCCAATAATCTATGGTTTAATATGAAACATTAGTTCCCAAAATTAAAAAATTTTATCAATGTATTTTGTAAATTTCACACCCTCTAAGTTGTGCAGTATTTCACAAAGCGTAAGAATAATTATAACGTCAAATAGCATTAAATTTAAAATATGATTTGAAATGAAAAAACAAAAAAAAATTATTTTTTAGAAAATTCTTTATTAGAGTTGGCTATTTCTATTTAATTCCATAATAGTGACAGTGGTGAAATGAGTTTAATTTTAAAAGTTCAAAAGACGTAAACGTGATTTTTATTGCAGTAATAGCTTTACACTTATTATTTACATTTTTTCGCCAACACCAAAGTATAACACAGAACAAAAATAAGATTAAAAAAATATATGTATATATTAAAAAAAATAAAACTGAATAAATACTAAATAAAATACATAAATAAGTACTAAGAATGATAACCATAACACCCAGTAAGCACAGGACCTAAAAAAGACGTGATTTGAACGTTCAAATGACGTCCAAAACGTTCAAAGATGTTTTAAAGACGTCTTTTTTACGTCCCATGCCCACTGAAAAAGATTTAAATATTCTTAAAATGTTAATAAATAAATCAAACATTAAATATCTTGACGGAATGTTTTAATATTTATAAAAATAAAATATCCCGACGAAATACAAGAATATTCCAACATAATACACAATCTTGATGCTCTATAACTTGAAGTCAAAATATGATATTGAGATTTTTTTCAGTTACTACTTAAACTATTATTTTTAAAATTTAAAACAGAAAACAATTAAAAAATAAGACAAAATAAAGCAGTAAAAAGTTATGCTTTTTTAGGTGAGCAGAACAGAATAATAACTGCAAAATATTTGTAATTCCACTAACTACTGCTAAATTTCAAAAACAGATCGCCGAGATTTTTGTTGTTTTGATTTTAAATTCTTGATTTTTACTTGAATTCCGAAACTTTTTTAACATTAATTTGTTATTATAAATTTTTCATTTTATGATCTAACCGAGTTATGTTTTCATCGAGCATTACACCTAAAAATTTCATCAAACATTCTCTTTATATTTACAATATAATCACGAATAATAAAATTAGGAAGCGGTAGAAAAATTTTATTTACTTTCTTTAAACTAGTAGACAGTTTATTTGGAAAATAAACTGTCTATTAATATATTTACGGGAAAAACTCCCTTAGGAAAAATCCTTCCCAAATAATCACGCGTGAAAAAATCTCCCAAAAA